GAGAGGAAGCTTTGCGACCGCTCAGATTTTGCTGAGCGATCCTCCCATGAGATGTCTGGGTAATTGAAGTCACCCATGACAACCATGGTCCTGGAGCAAGCTGCCTCAGCCAGTTCCTGGGCAAACTCCTGGTCAAGCTCAGGACTTTGGGTGGGAGGTCTGTAATAGACTCCCACCATTGTGTCCCCTGTGCCGTGTTCCCCACGGATTTTAACCCAGAGGGTCTCCAGCCGTCCACCCTGGTCGCCAATATCAGCTTGCAGGGACGTGTAGCTTTCCTTAACATAGAGAGCTACCCCCCCGCCCCTTTTCTCTACACGATCCCTCCTGTACAGGGTATACCCATCTATCCCCGTGGTCCAGTCATGGGTGGAGTCCCACCAGGTCTTCGTTATCCCTATGACATCGTAATTGTTTGAATTGAGCATGAGGATGAGCTCCTCCTGCTTATTCCCCAAGCTCCTGGCATTAGTGTACAGGCAGGCAAGTGCCCCCTGGGGGGTTCCTTCCTTGCACACAGATTTTACCAGGGCTGGGGCAGGGGTGGGCTCCCTGAAGCAACTTCAAAAGTTGCTAGATCAGTTGTTACCTGAAATTCTGTACCAATTCTAATGACTGCAGAAAAGACATCTAAAAGTCATATACTGAACAATCAGGGATCCAAAAAAATGCGGTCCGCCCCCCACTTTTTTTTTTTTTTTTTACCTCTTTGACCTGAAGGAACAGCCTGCAGAGTTTCAATAAGATCCATAAGAAGTTCTCATGGCAAAAGTTAAATTTTAAGAGGATGAATTTGAGTATCTGGAGTATTAACAGAGGTATTTTTGCTTGAAAGTACATTGTGTGAAGGATAGAATGGGGTTTTATAGAGAAGACAAGGAACCAAAATATTGTTTTGAGCCATTTTACCACAACAGCTATTTTTTTTAAACACGCAAAATTTGTTCTTGTATTAAATCTACCCAGCACGGAGCCACAAACCCAGTATCTGGGGAAAAAGATCTGTAGACTACTCAATTTTCCTGATGGAGTCAAAACCTGTGACAAAATAACAACAGACTCGGCAGCTTCATAAACATTAATTAACCAACCAACCAACCCTCCCAGGAATGCTTATAAAGCAGATCATTGCCCTTACTGCCATTTTACAGATAAGTAGAGGAACTCCCTGTAGATATCTGCCTCAAATGCCTCCATAAAACTCTCCTTTGCATTGATATCTGGCAAAAATTTAACAATGGTAGCCACCCAGAATGCTGATACCACTACCAACCATACTGACCAATATTGTCTCATGTTCTCCTTGTGTACCTCAGTTGTTTTATATTTAGACTGGTGCAGGGGTGATCTTTTCAGAATTTGAACAGCACCTAAACACAATGGGGTCCTAAACCAGGACTACTAGGACTCCTAATCATAGCAGTAATATTAATAGTAGGAATAATAAAAGGATGATGGGGGGAAAGGGAGCAACGGGACAGAACAGAGACATTTCTAAAAGTGATCATTAATTTTGGATGCCTATCTTTGTATGCCCAATTTAGCATTTTATAGTCTTATTTTTAAAAACTGTGAGAGCATCCACCACTTCAAATGAAACCAGCAGTCGCTGTGAGCATTCACACAACCTCTCAAGATCAAGACACAGGCGCAGGGCAGGGGTTTTCAACCTTTTTAGATCAGTGTACCCCTGGCGGCCAGACATGGAGCGGCAGCACGGGATGGTGCATGGCGGCGCTCTGTCCCCGCCCACCTGCCTGTCTGTACCCCCAGGGCAGGGGTTTTCAACCTTTTTTTAATAAGTGTACCCCTGGCAGCCCCCTTTTTAGTAAGTGTACCCCCCCAGAGGTGTGGCAAGCGGCCAGACACTGAGCGGGGGCGGGGAGCGTGGCGAGCAGCGGAGTGGTGATAGCGCAGCATCTGTTCAGCCCTGCTCTCACCCTGCCCCAGCCTGGCTCCTGTGCAGTAGTGTGGGGTGGTGGCACTCTGTCCCCACGTATCCCCTGCAATCTTTCAAAGTACCCCTAGGGCATACCCCCAGTTGACAACGCCTGGAGTAGGGAACTCAAAAATCAGTAAAACTTTTTTAACTGACCAAAAACCACAAACTGGGGAACAGCAGAGCCAAGGGTTAGTGACCAAGATTTCCTGGCTAAAACCCCACCACAGTCAATACATTGAACAATACTGCCTCTACAACTGTTGGTATCAGGGTGAAAATAATAGTATTCTGGCTCTAGCCTTGCTCACTGGTGAGCACCTTGAGATGGCCTGA